TACTTTGTTGTAGAAATCGCATAATCATTGTATAGTGGCTCAATACTTGGGCTAGGATATATATCCGTGCATTCCATGCATTAGCATAGGACCCAGTTTGTGACTCGAGGACTATGTACATCGAAAAAGAGTGGAAAAGTGTTCCTCTTTGTTCGTTGGATCGTGTAACACTAAAAGGAGTCAAAATTCGGGAAGAATATCTAAGAGAATTGTTAACTGAAACATCAATTCGAGAAGCTAGGTTAGCCAATAATGAGATATCCGATATCCCTTCTTAGAAGAAACCCCATTCCCAAACACAACATTTTCCATATCCTCGACAACCTATTTCACCGACCACCCATATCTACATGACATTTCATCGACATAATATTTCCCCGACATAACATTTTCCTGACAAATCTAGCTTGGTGTACTAAGCAAAAATATTGGGGAGGACCTTTATATATAATCTTAACTCTAATTCTAACCCTGACCTTTTAATTCCATGCAAAACCAGCCAGTTAATACATTATATCACAATATCCCATCACGTTTGGAAAACTTTTTTGGGAAAACATCTTGTCAGGGAAATCTCCATTCGGGGGAACATCATGTCGGGGTAAATGAGTTCGGATAAATTAATATAGCAACACGTTAGACTAGAAATTCTGAGTTTACATTATTTAATTAGCTTCGATATAACACTTACCTGCGTTTGTCAATTAAATTTTTATTGTTTACACACACAAATAGAAGCCATTAACGTTACCTCTGTCAATATTACCGTTACTGCACTTTTTTATGACATTGGACAATAAAACCAGCTTATCTATATCTAATTCATTGGAGCACTTTTACATCCCATATGCACTCTTTTAACACACAAAATCTGTACTGGACGGACGCAGAAATTAACTCCCACTTTTATTTACCGTTACCCATCATTTCAAAGTTTTAAATAAAACACTGATTTATAAATCATTGTAGTGAGTGCGTTTTTTATCTGGTACGGGATCACTATAGCCCATTTAGTACTGAACATTCGTCATTTGGCACACTCTCAGAACCAATTAGATACGTGATCAGGTTGGTTCTGAATATTCAGACTACGTACACAACACACTATCGGAAAAAGAAATAAAGAAAAATATGTAGACATAACGATAACCTTTTATTCATTACAAATGTCGCAAAAGAAAGGAGTCTATGCTACACAGTCGGTAACCATCATTTAAATTATCTTTCTTCTTTTCCATTCTTTATCACTTTCAACAACAGCACGACACACAAACTTTCGCCGTACCTGGGACAAACAAGAATACGAACAGCGTGCACGAACAGCTAAAATAGGAGGAAGAGCGAAAACATAAATGTCTAAAACCTAAACCGGCTGATGATGTTTGGGATGAAGAGGGACCTCGGAATTTGCTTACGGCGCGCACAGAGAAAGTTGTGCTCGATGCTAACTTGATATTATTGTAAAGTGCGCGATTGTGTGGTGAAGGTTCTCTATTTATTACCATTATGATATAATGGTTAAATTAATAAATATACGCAAGCGCAAAGAGATAGAAGTCGTTTTTTGGTCGTTGTGCTTTAACTCGTAACACAATTATAATTACCTGTTTAATTCAGTAAAGTATAATTTGTTTCTTTTAATAAAGAGCATGATAGCTCAGAAATGCTGATTTCGATCTGTGATATTATCGTTATACCTAACATTCGGACGAGAAATTCATCGACGATAAATTTCTGAGAATACGTACAGAGTGTGACTTCCAAAATTATGGCACTATTCAATATAAAATTTTTGACATGCAATATCTCATAAACTATCAAGAATTTTAATACGAATTTGAATACATTTTGAATTGACTTATTTTCAACTATATTATAATAAAAATTTTTTTAAATCTAATTCGTGGTTTTTTAAAAAAAAATAAATAAATCAAAAATCAATTTTTCGATTTAATTCCCAATAAATTTAAAATAAAATGCACTCAAATTTTTTCAGACACTCACTACCGCTACCATTTGGTATACCCTCCATTAGCTTTAAGAACATCCACTATCCTTTTTGGCATGGTGTTGATGAATTTCAAACATCAATATCGATTTGATTCCAAGATAGTCTTCATTACTATGTACATGTACCAGTACTAATATTACCAGGAAGTTGCCGCAAACGACGATCTATTTCATTTCACAAGGATTAAGGTCAGGTGGTTGCGATGGCCAATCCAATAATTTCCAACACCAAAACTACCAAAACATCACCAAATTTCACAGTTGGCTTAACATATTGCGACAGCAAAGTTGATTTTGGATTCTTCCAACACCATTCTCTTTCATCCGAGCCAAAAATCATGAATTTACTTTCATCGGACCAAACCACCTTTCTCCAGTCTTCTATAGTCAATCACGATGTTTTCGAACAAAAGCTTGTCGCGCTAATCTATGTCGTTTTAACAGCAATGGTTTTTTTCTTTTAACACGGGATACCAGACCTTCTCTTTTAATTGTATTTGAGGAACAAAGATATTTTGATCGGAAATTAATTTTTTTTGAACTTGGATGGCATTGGAACATTCATTCGTTTTAATAAGTTTGTTCGTGGACGGCCAGATTTGGGTAAAACGTTGAAATTTCCTGTTTCTTCTTTTCTTTTTTTAATTCTCACACCAGTTGAATGACTGATTTTTTCTCGAAATGCGATTTCACGGACAGAGTAACCTAGTTCGTTTGTCAAGCGGAATTGCCTTCATCGTTTGGAAGTTCAATTAACAACACGATACCACAATATTTGTTCTGATTACATGTATCATAACGCGTCACGTAAATATCGTGTATTTATTCCATTTATGGATGCTAAAAGTATTGCACCACTAAATACATGTACATGTAACGGTAACTATTTAAACGGGATTTTCTCGAAAAGCTATGGTGCCGGAACTCTTAAATCGACAATATGTTTCAATTTTAAAATGCTACTACTCGACATAGAGATAGAGGCAAAATTTTCAAAATCTGATCGGTGACTTTGTAGAACTTATTATAAAGAACAAGGTCACCAGTCAGATTTGCCTCTATGTCGAGTAGTAGTAGCATTTTAAAATTGAAACATATTGTCGATTTAAGAGTTCCGGCACCATACAAATAAATTAGCGTTAGTAAGCTTCAAGTTAACTTAAATTTGTAGTTATTCGATTACTAGATTTTAAGATATCACGTTTTAAAATTTTTGTATCGAGTGATATATATATGCAGAATATTACGTATATCGAGAAAAGATCATAACTGTGAATTCATAACGATAATTTTTCTTTTATCGAGATCTTTTTAAAATACAATGCTTAATGAAACAATTTGTATCAAAGAATAAATGTATTTTAGTTGGTATTCAGCCAGCACATTTTTGTGTAGGTAGCGATGAGGCGAGTCAGTCTGTTTTTTTAGTTTCCTTATATTATTGTGTGAATTCGAAAAGTGAATTCAGATAAGAAAAACTAGACGAGTATTTTATTCGGTTGATGTTTCGGATAATTGTAACGTTCTGCAAAACAGCATTTATTGAAACTATTCTAACAATTCAGTATTAGCATTGGTTCTAATTTAAATTACAATTAAGATTCGAGTATTCGACTCGATCTCTATTGCAGATCACGGATTTGAAGCAGAATTCTAAATGCAAAGAAAAATCAGTATCGTTATATATATACAGTATTAATTTTCAATTGATTTGATTTATCTCAAGAATACACGTACTGATTTCCAATATTGGATAATTTCATCGGTGACGGGTAAATGTTGATTGTCACCTATATTCAAGCATCCTTTAGGGTGTCCGGCACATATGTTATTGTAGTTCGAATGCAAAAATTCAAGCGAAGTTTGATTTGAGCTCAACAAACCTGCTTTCTAATTTCATAAATATTACATTAGATAAATATTGCATCCAACAAGACCATGAAACTACTTACATTGAGCTCGTTTGTTCCATTCGGTGGATGTTGGAGCTGAGATTGAGGATTAGCACGTGGTTGCAGCTTCTGCTTTTGCTTTTTGAAAGACGCTAGCGAAAAATATTTAAAAATATCAATCAGTTTACTCGAGTTAAATGTGTTGACAGAGAATTTACATACTTTTTTCTGAATTATTCGCTTTGGAATTTCCTCGTCGACGTTTTTTGGAATCATTTGATTTTTCATGATCTGAAAAAAGCGAGAATTATTCAAATCTCGTAAAAAAGTTCATTATCACGAATCGATATAACTTACTCGATAATAACATAGGAATTCCATTTTCTGATCTTTGAATTGAACTGTTCATTAATGGTGGGCGCTTTGGTGTATTTTGATCAACATTGACTACGTAGAAGAGAAATTAGAATTACGTACGAACATGCTAATGCCTAATAAAAGACGATCGATTTTCTGTTTAATTACCTTGACGTGAAATTTCATTTAGAAAAATTTCGTCCTCGAGACAATCTTTAGAGTTAATGTTAATAATTAATAATTAATCATTAATCTCTCTTATTATCCTATTGAATAATAATACTATAAATATACAGACCACTAATCCTACGCAACCAAATGCCATGACATTGAGCCAATAATAAAGGATGCTTAGCATTTTCTCTTTCATATTTAAGAAATTCTTCCTCGTCCGCTTCTACGATAACATACATTGTTATGAGAAATCCGAGTATACATTGTAAATAATTATATAAACGCGTGCTTACCAGTCCAACATCCTAAATGCATTAGAAGTGCACGAGATGGAAACTCTTCCTTAGAAAGATCAAGTCTTTTATTGATTTGATCATTTGACTGTTGCCATTCAATTTTATTATCAATTACAATTTGAGGATTTAATTCGGTCATTTTGCTCAATGAAGCGATCGAATTGAAATTTTTCAATGATTTTTTAGAACGTTGCTTCTTTTTTGATGACGTAGTAGAAGAAGATGGTTGTTGTTGACTTTGTTGATGATTATCGAGGAAAGGAGTTGTGGATGAAGATGAAGCATTTACTTGACTGAATGACAATCTTGCTTGAATGTTAGCTTTTTGCTTTTCTTTTTTAATATTCTTTGGATCAATCCCCAATGCTTGTTGTTTGGCTTTATGTTCTTGAGCAATTTTTTGTATAAGTCCTTTAACATCAGGATGTTTTTTAATATCACCTCCATCACTAATCCCAGTTTCTTCTTGATATTTAGCAATTCCGTAGACATACCAGCGAATACTTTGTAGTGCATTCGTGCTTGCTTTTAAAATGATAAATTTACAAAGGTTTTCCGCACTAACTGGTAATAAACTTCCATCCGCATTGTACCATTTATTTTTTTCTGCTACTAATTTGTACGCCTTGATTTGTCTCTCATCACTTTTTTTCTCGACTTGGGAGGAGGATGATGACGGTTGTGATTTTGATTTCCCTGCTGCTGCAATGTTAGAAGCGGAAGTATCAAAAACATCGTCGTCGGATGATATTTCAATAAATACTTGAGGAGTGGTCATCGTCGTCATTTTGATATTTCAAAAGTTTTTTTTTTTTTAAAAAAGACGCGCGTAAGCTTAATACGCGAACCCCGGCGGCAAGATATTTTCAATTTATTATTTGTGTTTGTATGTTTATGTGCGTGTTTCAACAGAAAAAAAACAAATGTCCTATTACTATTTATAAATTTTGATCGACCACTAATTTATCACATAATTGCTGTTACACTACATACAACCATCCAACATGCAATTAGTTTTGAATAATCATTTCGCATGCAGCCAAACTTGATTTGTCGCTTGAACTTGTCATCTATTCAGATTAAAATATTTATCTTTTTAGTTATTTCCTGTGTAATTGGCTTTATTTACGGTTAGTTTCTTCGCTTCGCAATTTTGAGTTAAAATCTTTACAAATTCGTGAAGTAAGAATGAAATGATGCAAATTAATAATAAACAATATACATGTAATTCAAGATTTGAATAAATTAAACAAAAATCTCTTAATTCAAACCGCTAGCTCCGACAGTGTTCGATATCACTTAAAATAAATAGCATTTGTATAATGAGCAATACAAATTTACATATTTTTTGATATCTGATCAAGCTTTCTGCTAACTTTCGTTTCACTGCAGTTAAAAATTATTCTCTATAACAATTTGGAATCATTCAGATTACCAAATCTCGTCGTGTTTTATAGTACATGCATTCTTTTATTAGACTGTCGATATCTTTATTTTTTGCCAGACCACGAGCATAAAGAATTTTTTTGGTAAATTTTTCATGATGCATAACTTTGATGGCCACTGTATGCCAAGATAATACAGCCCTAAAAGTGTTCTTAGGTGAATGATTTCCATGCTGACAAATTTGGGTGAGAATTAATTCGAAGAAATAGTTATAATATCAAAACAGATGAGCCAAAAATTTCTCGCCAGATCTTAAAGCTAAGATCTCGAATTCTATATCAGCCGATCCCTTCACTGAAAATTCCGAATGTCTCCAGTCCCCCTTGTGATAATCATCTCTGTACATAATAGTTTGGCATGGATTCTTCTGAGATCTTTGATCGAAGAAGGTTGAAAGGCAAGCGAGATCATCGCACATCACCCCACACCCCAACACATGCGAAAAATTGACTGTCTCATACGTAATTATTGACCAAATGTGGGCCGTCAGTAAAAATCAAGCAAATTACTCTAATAAATTTGCTTGGTTTTTACTGACCGCTCTCCAAATAGTCTGGCTTTATTAATAAAATGAAAACATGGAAGTTATGCTTTATAATGCTTCACTTGTAAAGAGATCCTTCGGATCAGTCAGGCTTAAAGTAGTCAAGATTCATCATAATACATTCGTATTATTTACCTCTGGTGAAATTACTTGCGAAACATTTGAACTAGCTTGCAATGTCTTATATATTTGCAATACCCAATTAATCCATAGCGAAAAATACCAGTCACCTCACGAGACGACACCCGGGCCGGGATGTGGGGTAATGAGCACATTAATACACCACTGGGAAACAAACCACGAGCACAATTAGCTATTTTTAAACTCTCTTACTCATTACACGTATTCACTTGCGGAACAAGGTTGCTAAAATCAACTAGTTGGCGATGATAAACTTCTTTTGGATCCTATTTCTTCGCGCTGTGCAAAAAATATAGTGCTCGCAATTCAGAGATATCATCCTTACAATCCGGAATGCTAAATATTAGTGTAAATTCTGGACTTTTGGAGACGGAACAAAATTCTGACAAACAAAATTTTCAAAATTTGCTGCTAAATTCCGACAAATCACAGCATACAATTGAACCTTGCTTCGTTGCAATAAACTTTTGGAGTCTTTAATTATATGTTTTAGGAATTTTCGGAAATTTATTATAACGAGGTTCAACTGTATTTAAAATTCTGAGATTGAGCATTTTTTCTTAATTTAATAAAAAATATGATTGTTTAGCAATAGTTTTTCTGTTTTCTCTTTTCACTGAAATTATTCTTCAAAATGACACGGTTTCATAACACCTATTCTTAGTCATTAATGTAATAATAATGCTTGTCAATTTGGTAGTTCATTGATCTCCAGTTCCGATTGCAGCTCTGAGAATAATTTCCATTGCTTACTTCTGTGGAAAATTGTACAGTTCTATTGGTCGTATAGGCTTTCTTTTATCATAAATATCGATATGCATTTTTATCATAACGATCATCATTTTCAATATACATAATATTTTTGCAACGGTAAATACATTTTAACCTCGAAGTGGAATAATTACTCCAAAACATTCGTTTTCCGGAGAAGCAATAAACGATATCGATATGCGAAATTATCTTAACGTTATTACAGTACTGCTCGCTTTGCATATAAATGCCACAATTTATAATCTTTGTAATGCGCAAATGAATCTAACTGAAGCATTCTTTTATAGAAAAATTAATTAATTAATTGTTCGATAAAAATTTGGAATGGAAATCCCGTACAACTTTAATAAACAATATCATTATATATGATTTCAGCTGGAAAAAAGCATTTTTAACCTATTTTTTAGAGTTTTGGTAGACTCATTAGGCATCGAATCCTGATCACCAGTTATTGTCTTTAACTGAATTTTCACCGGAAGTTCATCTTTAGGACGTGAAACCCATTTTGAATAATCCAATGACTGATCGGGATTAATCAACGTGAAATCAAATGCTGACAAAAGTCGTGCGAGTAAATATATGCAATTGCTTAAAACCGCAACTTGACCCGTACTTTTTGTAAAAGACAAAAGATTTAAATAATACGTAATAGAATGATATACGATAAGCAGTTTTCGAAGGAATTTTACCATCGATGAGACTGAGTTAAATTTCCTCCTCCAAATGGAGTCCAATCGAATCCATTCTCGGTATCTTTTATTTCTTGTTCATATCTTTCTGGACGAAAAGAATCAGGATCCGGGTATCTTTCCTTATTAAACCCTTTATAGAAATTGTTTTTTATTTAAATTATTTTGCAAAAAAAAAGACTCAATACAATCACTTGAAAGACTATTTAATTACCATTAGCCCAAAGTCCAGCAGCAACAACGCTTCCTTTCGGAATAATAAATCCTCTTACAATCATCTCTCGAATAACCGTCCCTATAAAGATTTTTTAAGAATCTATAGAAAACTATTATCTTATAACAAAAAGAATTTAAACTTACCGAATTTCAAAGGTTCAATCGGGTAAATTCTAATAGTTTCCTTGATAACATTTTCCAAATATGGAAAATTTTTTCTGACAAAATTCCCAGTTAAATTACTTTTGTGGTCGTATGATTGCAAAAAATCGAGATTCGATGCGATTTCTTGCATCGTTTTACTGAATACTTCTGGAGAATCGATCAAAATGATATCACAATCAGACCAACCTCTAAAATACGTAATGTCCGCATGAGATAATTACGCACCTGTATTTTTGTTTTTACACAAAAGAATGATTGCACCGCTGACAATTGAACTTATTCCACTTATGGCATAGAATAAATGATTGATTTCAGTGATTATTTCATCGTCCTTCAATCTTGGGGTCGCATTAATTAATAATTGCATTGTATCATTATATTGACCGTGAAATTTTTGATGCTCTAGTAAACGTTTTCGCGAAAAGTTAAATATCCATCTTGCGTCTTCTAATCCCTCGTGAAAATTAAAAAATGGATAATTTATAGGTTTATCTACACACGTATAAATCCTATTAGAGTTAACATCTTACTCAACTATTTTCGGTTATATTTAAATCTAAAATACCTGATAAATCTGAATTTACATTATAAAATTTTTCCAATAATTTTTCATTCGCGTTATAGCTCCAAAGATATTTTGCAGTGACTTGCGCACAAAATTTACGAATATGAAAATTGAACAGTATAATAGTGGGCAACCCAATTGGAAGTATTTTAGATTTTAAGCTTTCAATAAATTCATCGGTCAACGATCCAACTGTGTTAAGAAAACGATTCACATTTTCGGCGCTATGTGTGGCTTGCAATAATATAGCTTTATTTTAATTGAAGTATGTAATTAATTAGATAATTTATTTAAATTTCACAAATAAATCTTTTTACCTTTTCTTTCTTGATGCGAGGTACGATTCATCTTTGGGGTTACATCCAACCAATCGCCAAACATATAAGAATCAGGAGGAGAATGAAAAAGTCCACGAACAACATTTTCTTCATCATAAAATACTTGTAATGCTTCATTTCCACATAAATGATATACTGTTGTATATTTCATCCCGTTTAATCCACGAATATCTGCTCGTACAACGTCACATTGTTCCGCGAGTCCTCTTGACCAAAGACTTGGCGATGCTATAAATTTCCAGCTGTCTCCAATTAAAGGATAATTGAATTTACTTTGCGGTGGATCAGACATTTGCTACTAATACTAACACTAACGCTAAATAAAAAATAAATTTATTAAAATAATGATGTTTGTGGCACTGCACACAGCCATATTGATGTTCGCTACTTCCCTAATCCGTATGTTGCGTGCGTTTGTATCGGTATCGGCATATTATAAATTGTACGTATAAACCTCTCGTTCTTTACTAAGAAGAGAAGTAAATGCAAAATTTAATCCGTAAATAGGCTCTTTCTGAGCATATTTACGGCTTAAATTTTGCATTTACTTCTTAGTAAAGAAGTTTATACATTTTATAAAATATAAACGTTTGATGAAAGATGTTCAAATAAAATATGGATATTGCGTATACGTACAATGCTTTCAATAATCTATTGATTATATAAAAGACAAAAATCTTCTTACTTAACGTTAACGACATCACTCTTAAATCCTTTTCCATAATAAAATCGGGCTCAATTTAACGAATTTCTTGAAATAGCGCGTTTTTCAATTTTTACTATATGTCCGACTGTGTTTTAATTCAAGTTCTGAAATGATAGCGATAGTAAAATAAACGTAATAATGCTGATTTATAGCGCAGAATTCTTAACGTTATGCTTGAAAAACGACACAGGAACGCATTACGCATTTGGTGTATCGTGTTTAAAAGACGACATGTGTATGTTTAACACGTACATTCATAAAAAAAAGAATTTTCATTGTGTGAAAAGAAGAACCTTCCGTTAGGGTTATGCTATTTGTGTGTGTGTGTAAATAATAAAAGCTTCTTCTTTTAATATCAAATACACGTTGTAATTCGTCCGATAATTCTCTTCAAATTTTGGGTAAAACTTTGAAGAGATGATTTATATGTGTGGAATAAACTTTCAAAAATACTGAATACGTGAACGGCTGCTTAAACATGTCTGAGCACTAATCAAAAATGCCCTTTCGTTCATCCTACGGAACAATTGTGCAAGTTCGTATGAATGCAATTTATAACACTACCAATTCTAATTATTTATTATTATAATAAATCTACCTCGTTAAACCGAATTTACTAATTAAACTGAATTTTTTAAAATTTTTTACTAATTGCACCGACCACTTACGATAACGATAATTATAATGATAAGGGCAATGCATGAAAATTGATATGCATTATTATTAGCCAATGAAAATGAAGATTGGTTTCATAGTACATGTACATGTAAATTATAGATAAATCACGTGCATGTATTTACGGGGATGTACTGAACCTGATACATGTATCTCGATATCCGGTGATCCCCTTTAGATTCGTCTCAACTATACGAATTTAATGGTGATATCTTTGTTCGAATGGGATCACCGGATGTTGAGATATCGGGTTCCAAAGTGACAAATTCATTTTTGAAATTTCTAGTAATATATTATAGGGGTGTGCATTTAATTCTAAGTCCCAAACTTGGGACCAAGCCAGGGCATGTATTTAAAGAGGGGTGCACTTAGAGAGGGTGCACATAGAGAGGTGTAATTAGTATTTATAAAGTAAAGCGATTACCATTTTCTTCTAACAAAGAGCGAAAATGACGATACAGCAGATCATTTCAATAGAGCGCCATTTATTATTGATGTTAACGTTAACCTTATGTTAAACTGTTTTTACGCATTTGATGTGGTGTATAATGATACATACTGTATCGGTATATGAATTTCTAGTCTAATGTGTTGATATGTCAATATTAATAAACATAGCAAACGTGATAATGAAAATTAATAAATGTACATGATTTACGCGTCCGAACACTAAAGAAATTTCACAATTATTTACTTTATTTTTAAATAGTTATAATTCAAAATTTACATATCGAGATTAATCAGATATAAATTTAATTTTAACATTAAATGTTGTTAAAAGTTTTTCACTTTACGAATATTGATCGTAAATGCTATTTTACTCGATCTATCAATTTTCACTATAAACTATATTATACCAATTTGTAGCCAAAACAAGAGCTACAACTTTCTAAATGCTATTTTATTTAATGAAGATTGTATTTAGATATCTAGAATCTGCGCTCAGTTCCTGATCACATGCACATCACAAACCAATAAGGATGCGCGGCAAAGCAAGTCCGTCCTCTTTGATACCAGAATGAAAATTTAGGAATGTCATGATTTTTAAGAATCATGAGGTATTTCATGAACTAATGTTTGGATTTAACTATAAAAGTCATTTTTGAAAAATGATAACCCATTGTTGTCAATTAGAACTTGGGTGTCTTATGTAAACTTTTCGTTCAAATGTAACTGTTGACGCTGAACTGAAACCCGGAACAAGAAAACAAAAAATGTGAAAAATACGATAAAAAATGTCGAGTAAGCTTAACAATAGCCCTTTAATAGTTTCCGGCACGTTATATGATCAGGAACCGAATACAGATTCTATTATTGTGTAAAATAGAATGTATGATAAGATCGATCGTTGTGTGAGGAAAAAAGAGAAAAGTAGGAGCAGAATACTGCGAAGTTTACGACAAGGACGCTCCTTTATTAGAGATAAAGCCCAAAATGAGGATGGAATAAGTTATGAAATAGAAAGAAGCAAATAGATATTGACGTGAATTTCATAAACATTCAGGTTTGATGAATAAAAACATAGTTCTCTAATAACTATTTTGCCAATTACTTTAAAGAAGGCAAGAAAGCTTACTCCTTCCAGGTACTGATTAAGCTAAAAAAAAAGGTTTGGAAACAAAATTAATGAGTTAATAATAGAAAAGAGAAAGAAAATCTTTACATATTACTTTAGACTTGAGAGTTATTTTAGTAATAAAAGAAAATTACACCAACCATGGTAAAACTAAAGACGAAGCTTACGTAAATATTTGGTTTTTTCGTCAAGAAAATGTGAGCAGGCATATTTTGCTGATATTATTCTTTGATCAGAACTACTTTTCGTGGAACCAGCGAAGGAAGCCACGCTTGAGACTCTTACAATAAACCTTTGAAGGTTTACAAATCATTCAAGTCTGATTCCCACATGTATTAATGCTTCTTTTAATAGATCTCTGTTTAGGGATATTGGTGAGTGGTTCTCAAATATCTTTATTCAACATATACGCGATACATATGACTAAAAAGTAATAATAAAAATAAAACACTAAATCAAAATCCTAACAAGAAAAAAGTGATAAATCTCAATAGACATGGTGAAAAATAGAGAACTTAAAAAACTCGTTAAACTAATAATTCTTGTTAAAGCTCCCAAGGATCTTTCTTCTTTGATCCTTCTTCGAATATCGCCCCAATGAAAGCTTTTGCAACTTCTTGCGAAAAGGGATGTGCATCCGGAAACAACTTTGGGACAAGTTCCTGCAAAAGCCCCGACATAAGCTCCGAAAAAAAATCCATTTTTGTTTTTGTTTACGCAAGCGTTTAAATTTCGTGAGCAAATTGGAAGATAATTAAACCTAACCAGTAAAAATAAACAAAGTTTATAATAATATTTGACAAGAATTTCAAACCACTAAAAATTAATATTCATAACTTACTTATTAAATTGTAAAATATTATTGTTTTCAATTGGACGGGACGGGAAAAAGTTCAAATACTGTATGAGCAAGATTTAATTTCCGGAAAAATAACCAAGCAAGTTGCTTATTTGTTCATTTGAAAGAAATCTTCCCACTCGTGAGAATGAAATATGTGGTCATGCATATTGTTAGTATTTTTCCCCCAGAATGTACGTACTAAGTTAGCATTACGGATCATCACTTAACGTAATCGATGTATCGGTATATCTTTTTTCCTGCCATGCTTTCCCGTAAATCGACGGATCCAATTTATATAACGAAAATGCTATTTATAGCTACATGTAGTATCAACTTTTACCGTAGTAATTAATTAAAGAAATTAATGAGAAAATATATATTAAATATAATTTTACTTTTGTTTGGAACCTATAAACTGACACTTGAAGAGCCTATAATTTTTAATAAAAATACTTGTATCAGCTGGCATTGAAATTAAATTCGTAGTAAAGACTCGACTGGTGTAAATTGTATTTGGGTGAATTTATTGTTTTTTTTTTAAGAATACTTTTTGCAATTCCATCTCTGCCTTTCTAATTTAAGAGCCTATCTAATTTCTATCAGTTTGGTATCGTAGGTCGTACTTTGTTATATATGTATAGTAACCATAACTCCACCCACCAAATAGTTGAGTGTATGGCAACTCTGAACTCATATAAGGAAGAACACAAATTTTCCATATCTGCTGGTTTGGTAAGCTATGAAGGAAAGCATCAATATATTTAGTAACGATAATATATTTATGGGGTGAAAGTTACAACGCACAAGTTTCTCTGTAAATAACTTAATTTCTTTTCTCAAGTCAATTCTTCGTGGTTAGAATTGATATATTCGATAGATCGTTATCTTTTGCATATTCCATTACTATTCGTAGCTGAGTTTTTACTTTAGAATAGTATGAATATATTTTTTTGAAAAGCTTAATAGCATTAGAAGACAAAAAGGCAACTTGCTTACACTTTCAAAATTGTTCATTTTTACCTCGTTTATAACTTTCTTTGAACCATGTGATGATTTCAACAACTCAATATCCATCTCTTTTAAATTAATTGTCTTCATGATCCCATTTGTAATAACGCAACGATACTAGAATCAAGAAAATAAGAAATTAATACTTTATTTTTCGTCAATAAGATCCTGTATAGATACTCTAATTATATGTAAAAGAAGTAAAATATGATAAAATAAATCAAAAGTTACAACAGCGTTTATAAATAGATAGATAAGGAAACAATAAATAAATATATGCGTAAAAACAAAGTTGAAACAGCTTTTGGTCGTTATAACACAGTTAATATCGATTTCATGATCTCTAATATTTTACACTATTGATAAAAATATTATTAAAGCATAAAGTAAAACGGCATAAAGTAAAACGGTTACCATTTTCTCAACAAAGAACAACACTCTTTTGATATCCACTGTTTCATCATAAATCTGTAGTTTTTCTTGTAT